GGGAAGGGGAAGGGGAAGGGGAAGGGGCCACAGTGGGTCGTCTTGTCCAACATTCCTGTTCAGGTCAGGCTTGAGATGAGATGTGGGCACAAAATTGTGTCCACACAATTCTTGCATTTCTCCAGTGAAGGAGACTCCCCAGACTCTCTGGGCAATCTGTTCCAGTGCTCCATCACTCATATGGTAAAGTTCTTCCTCATATTCAGGTGGAACTTCCTGGGCATCAGTTTGCCTATTTCCTTTTTTCCTATTGCTTGGCACCACAAAGAGCCTGGCTCCATCCTCTTGATACCCTCTCTTCAGATACTTCCAGATATTGATGAGGTTCTCTCTCAGTCATCTCTGCTCAAGGCTGAACAGGGCCAGCTCCCTCAGCCTTTACTTATAAGAGAGTTGTTCCAATCCCTTAACCATCTTTGTCCACTGGATTCTCTCCAGGGACTCCACATCTCTCTTGTTCTGAGGAGCCCAGAGCTGGACACAGCACTCCAGCTGTGCCTCACCTGGGCTGAGTAGAAGGACAGGATCACCCCCCTCACCCTGCTGGCTGTGCTCTTCCTAATGCACCCCAGGCCACCATTGGCCTTCTTGGCCACCAGGTCACACTGCTGGCTCATGGACAGCTTGTTGTCCACCAGGAGCCCCAGGTCCTTCTCCGAAGAGCTGCTTTCCAGCAGATCTGCCCCAGCCTGTGCTGGTGTCTCGGGTTATTCCTCCCTACTTCAGGGCCCTACATTTGCCTTTACCAAATTTCAGAAGGTTCATCTCTGCCCATCTCTCTATCTTCCCTCTATTGAGGCCTTTCTGAAGGATTGCACAGCACTCTGGGGTATTGGCCACTGTTCCCAGCTTTGTGCTCTCAGTGACCTGCTGAGGAGGCATCTTCTCTTTGTCCAAATCAGTGATGAACAAGTTAAACAACATTGAGCCCAGTACTGTCTCTTGGGGGGCATGACTGGAGACAGGCCTCCAAACAGACTCTGACACTCATTACAACCCTCTGGGATCTGCTGATCTGCCGGTTCTCAATCCATCTCACTGTCCAGTCATTTAACTCACACTTCCTGAGTTTGTATATGGGGATGTTGT